TGGTTGAATTCTTTGCTTTAAAATGAAGAAATGATAAATGTCAAAATGTTTTTTTTAATTATTTTTAGAACATTGATTCTACTTACCATTAAGTTTCAAATGTGCAATTTAGTTCACAGTTTGAGCATTTGGTTGTTTTGTTTTAACCATGTAAATTATTCACTGGTATTTTTGTTCTGGTTTTGTAATATAGAAATTTTAGTCAAACAAGTGATTTTCAAAGTTATTAAAATATATTGCGTGTATTTTATGGTTTCATTTATTTGCTGTTTTGTAATTTATAAATCTAGTTTTTCCTTTAGAGCAAATACATCACAGAGTTCTATCTCCAAAACCTGGCAAATTCTAACACCTATATCTATAATTACTGAGTTTTCTGTAGAGATTACTATAAATGACAGCTACCACAATCACTAAATTCCACTGAATAGGCAGAGTAATAAATGCACAAAGCTAAAAAAAAAAGAGGAATTCAACACTTCTAAATGGGGAGTCATTTATAAAGCCTGAATAGGTACATTCCTAATTTTTAAATATGAGAAACTGGAATTTTCACCATTGCTTTTGGGAAATGCATTTTGCATTTATAAAATAACCTTTGAATTTAATTTTGATCTCTTGTTTGGGGGAGGGAGGAAAGGAAATGGGGTAAGAACCAAAGTTTAAAAGTAGCTTAATAAAAACCAACCCCCAGTCTCTATAATAATAAACTGTGTGCTTAGATTTGGATTTTCTGGGGAAATGTCAGTGTAGGTCGCCTATGTGACATTATATGGCATTACTTTTGTTGCAAATTATCTTCAGTGGAGAATTACAATGTTGGCTAACTCTGTCCTGTCTAACATCTCCATTCGCAAACATTTTCTTCCTAATGTTATGATCCCAGCTGATGGCACTTCCGGACAAGTCAGATCTCGGAATGAAATCTGGCTTAATAGGTCACATATCTTTATTTTAGTTAATGCAGTGGTCATTCACTCAAACATAGTCACACAAGGCTGAAGAGTTTCTTTGATCGCAGAAGTTTACTACACAAAATTCTATTCTATTCTAAAAGACAAAAACGAGAAACAAGTACATCTATCCAAATATAGAACAGTTCCAAAAATCTTAAAACACAAAGCAAAACTAAGTTTCATCTTGTTTTCCAACACTATACATTACAGAGACTGAAATCCAGAGAAATTACCCTTCTATACTGAAGCTTTAAGTTTGAATTCACTGACTCTCTCCAGTCCTTTCCTGTGATCCTCAAAGTCATCTTATATGAATAGTCACAAAACTGAGAACTTCAAGTTTCTCAGCTTTTAATAACATGCCGATTTCTAACCAAACTGATCTGGAAGTTTCACAAACAAAACTTTTCTATTCAGGTCACTGTGCTTTCTTTAACTGCTCTGTACTTTTTTTTAAATTAGGGAAAAGTACATTTGCTTCTGATCCCAGTCAGATCTCCTCCAAAAGCCTAAAAGCTTTCAATCTCTGGGGTAATAAAGCTAAAATCAATCCTCGATTATCCAGAAACAAAGTCAAGCTAATGGCCTTCAATGTTTACCCCACTTGTCATAAAACCGCACAGTAAAAACAATATTCCATTTACACTTCAATGGGATACCACCTCTCTGACACAAACTATGGCTTTAATGTTAAGGTGAGGTGACAGTGACAGTCCTTGCCATAAAGCCATGTTTGACAAAGTTGGCATCAAGGAACCCTAGCCAAATTAGAATCAATGAAAATCATGAGGAAGACGCTCTGCTATTTGAAATCATACCTGGCACATGGGAAGATGGTTGTTGTTTTTAAGAGGTCAGTCATATTATTGTCAGAATGTTTCTGCAGGAGTTCTTGAGGGTAGTATAGATCGAATCATCTACAGCTGCTTCAGCAATGACCTTTCCTCCATAATAAGGTCAAAAGTGGGAATGTTTGCCAATGGTTGCACAATGTTCAGTACCATTCATGATTCTTCAGATACTGAAGCTGTCCATGTTCAAATGCCAACAAGATCTGGACAACATCCAGGCATGGGCTGAAAAGTGGAAAGTAACATTTGTGCCACACAAATGCCAGACAATAACCATTTCCAATCAGAGACAGAGACAATCTAACCATTGCACCTTGACATTCAATGGGGTTACCATCACGGAATCTGCCACTATCAACATCTTGGGTGTTACCATTGTCCAGAAACTGAACTGGACTCAACATCTAAATACACTGGTTAGAAGGGTAGATTGGAGGCTAGGAATACTGCAGGGAACAATTCACTTCCCAAATCCTCAAAGCCTATCCACTATCTAGAGGACATAAGTCAGGAGTGTGATGGAATACTCCCTACTTGCCTGGATGAACCACAACAGCCCTAACAACACTCAAGATGTTTGCCACCATTCAGGACAAAGAAGCCTGCTTGATTGGCAAACATCCACAAATATTTAGTCATTGCAGCACTCAGTAGTAGCAGTGTGTACTGCCTTTAAGATGCACTACAGACATTTTCCAAAGATTTTTTAGACAGCACCTTCCAAACCCACAACCACTACCATCTAGAAGGACGAGGCAACAGATACATGGGAACACCACCACCTGCACTTCCCCTCCAAGCCACTCATCATCCTAAGTTGGAAATATATTACTGTTCCTTCACTGTTACTGAATCAAAATTGTGGAATACATGATTTGGCATCGTAGGTCTACCTACGATACATGAAGTGCAGCGGTTCAAGAAGGCAGTTCACCATCATTTTTGCAACGACAACTAGGAATGGGCAATAAATGTTGACCCAGCCAGTGATGCCAATGCTCCATGAGTTAGAAAAAACTGGTTGAGATCACTGTTCTGGAAGGTCTGTCTGACCTTGTTAAATATTTTTGAACTCTCCACAAAGAAACCCACATTTCACTATTTAAAACTCAAACTCTAAAATTATTGATATCAGAAACCCCTCATCACAATTCTGTATGTCAAATTTAAGGTGAATTGTCTGATGTATTTGTCTTAATACTACGTATAATCATTCATACATTTGCTTACTTAAACATGACATTTTAATATTAATTCTAAAAAGAAATTATTGATAGTAGTTTGTACACGTCACATTTGAACTAGGCAATCTTCTCCATCCTGAGATTCTGCCTGTACCTTTCTCACTGAAGACTTGTTGTTTTAGAGCCTCCCTTGCAATCCATGAAATGTGTTCAATTGAGAAGATGATCAGGATATTGGCACAATGATAGCCTGAAGGCTGATAAGATGGCATTCAAGCCAGGAGAACAGCTGATAACACAGCAGCACAAAATCAAATGTTGCAAGTTTGTATCTTCTTTTGGTAGATAGGTGGTGATTTATCTTAAATACACAATTTTCATCGTGTGACGTCAACAACTACATTACCATTGCGTCATGCATCTAACAGGATAGAAACTAGATGGATCATGACTCTTTTTTCACCTTGCAATACTTATGTTTCGAGGTACTGAAGATACTTCTCCCCTCCTCTTCTTTCACCTTCAAGAGCAGAAAATCAAAACCAACAGAAAACTATGGAAATAGTCAAAAACACTCTAAACTTTGTTACAAGGTGAATAAAGGAAGAAAAGTCAAATTTCCCACAACAGAAATCAAAGAAAGAATTAAAAGAGGCACTGGGTACTTAAGAACTTAAACCCATATTCTCTTAATGCACCTTCTCATCATTACTCAAAGGTACGCTTTAGTGGCAATGTTAATCTGTTCATGGGTACATGGTTTCTCCTTTATAGTATCGTAATATATTTTTAGCTAACATACTGACTGTAAACTCTGCTTCCAGTAACAATTTGTATTTGTGAAATTAATTAAAAATTCCCAAAGATATATCTTATCAATAATACTCATTCTCTGAACGAGAACTTCATCTATACCGTACCCTTGTATCACTAAAGATATTACAAATCAGATCTTTTCACAGTCAATTTGGCATTGGGTACTTGATAAAGGGAACTATATATAAGATGTCTGACTATTTTAATACCAATCCAGAAGCCAAATTCCACGGTGACCTAGTCAAACCATTTCATTAGCTCAAAACATACGGCAGAAGTCAGAAAATTCTGAACTTCCTGAACTTTTGTTTTGGCAAAGCTGTGTCGACACTGGACGCCTAGTGCTACGTAGCAGCTCAGATAGTAACTTTTGTTTGTTGACTTTGGCCTGCCATTTCCCATAAGGATCAGTAAATTTTATTGTATCCTTTAAGGGGTATGAAACAACTCTTGACTGCCAGGAATTACTGAATAATTTCAATGTTACATAAATAATCCCTCATTGATATATTTCTCACTGAATTACTTACCTTTTAGAGAATATTCAATTACCAAGCATTTTTTTCTTTAAGCATCTGAATGAGTTTCTTTAAAACTAAATTACATTTAAGCAAAACTAAATTCTTGCGTTTAAATTCAGTAGAGCGGCTATCTAAATCATTTGAAGAAGAATGAACTCCTGGCAATGTTCACCAAGTTGGCTTGCCTTTTTCTGTACATTTTAGCCTATCCAAAGCTCTTTTTACAGTTTCCAGATAGCTGTTTACATCACGTCATGAATGTGTCCTACTCTTCTTTGTTGCTTCTTCCAATGCTGCAGAAAACAACCCTTCCCAAAATCACCATTCTTCTGACTTCAACCTGTCAAATTCCTTGTTGTTCCATCATGGCACACGCTCTTACAGCACCTACCCATCATCACAAGTTTTGTCACCATACCATTAGCAGCTGTACTTTCAGTTAAATGAGACTGCATGTTTTCAAATCCCCAAATAAAAACTTTTTCCTGCCTCAACACTCTCATTAAAAGTTCTCTCTGGCCAAGTTTTTGGCCAGTCCTCCGAATAATGTATTCTTTTGACATGGCAAGAATTTTTGTTTTATCTCTGTGAAGTCGGATCATTTTCTAAAATGAATGACACTAAATAAATACATGAGAGCTGATACCCATGACCCAGCAAAAATACACAAAGTTAGTGCTTCAGTACATTTATTATATACGTACTACAATATTTTCACTTGATAAATGCGTCAGATGTAAATAAGCCTGTTAATTTCATGAAAAGAAAAACAGACTGCAAACTCATGCATAAATTTCTTTTTCACTTCCCAAGTCATTTATCCATTTCCTCATCAGATTCTCGAGGCAATTAGGGATCAGCAACAAATTCCGAGTTACAATTTGAGTTCCTTGCTTCCAAGTGACTGAAAACAACTCTTCAGATACTCCTCTGTCACCTCTTCTAGGGTTGCTGGCTTCCACTTTGGGGACTGATCCTTGTCAATCAGAACTGATTAGACAGAAAAGAAACGTTATCATGAAAAGAACTACAAATACTGTTAAAACAACAGCATAAATACAATGGGAAAAACAGGAGCACAAATATAAAAATGTATTCATTACATTTTATTCTAGATATACCTCAAGTTATTTGAAGCCATATACTCTTTTAATTGTCTTTCATTATGTTCAATCAATTCATTAGTCACTACCTTGATCACATAATGGTCATCTGATAGCCTTAGCCAACAGTGATGATTACTAGCAGCTCCGTAGTTGTGAGGAAAGTCTACTTCATAGGCACTCTCCTAATGATTATTGATCCTGCACTCTGACTGCACTCATACTTTCCCCAATATATATCTATACCACACTACTTAAAATAAAATATGCAGCCAAAGTCCGTTCTCACCCGGAAATGTACAATTTCAGTGTTGAATATATTGCAAACCAAAAATGGCTTTTACACTGAAAAAAGTTGCACTGATCTTGCTAATATTGCTTTTATATCTCAAACATCAGAAGTTTGACATTGGCAATTTAGAGTGCTAATTCTCACCAATTTTTTGTGTCACAACTGAACCAGAACTAGCTTAACACAGCAACTGACTAAATAACTTTCTTTATATTTATTAAGTTACGTGTTAAAATTTTTTTAAACAGTGTTGCTTTCTGCCCCTTTATTAATTGATAGTCCATATCGATTTCATCAGATTTGTAAATTTATCACAAAATTATAGTTTTGCTTTCCTCTCTTGTAAAATAGCAAAATATTTTGCTGCATGTTCCAAAATTTATTTAGTATAACTTAAACCCATTCATAAAGAAAATCAAATTTACATTGGACGTGTATCCATGAACATTCTGTGCTAAAATAGGAGAAAAAAAAGAAATGAAAATTCCTCAGAAATACCATTGCCCAGTGTCCTTGATATGTGGCTACAAAGGAGCTGTTTGAATCAGGCTCTAGACTTATCAATACTACTAGGTTGAAAATAGATTAATTGAAAGCTCCTAGTTAAGACTTATAATTTGGATTGAAATGTGTAAAGCAATGTTCTTTCCTTGTAATCCATTGTAGATTAGCAACCATCAGATTCAATCCGTTGTTGTGGAACTCATTACCTTGATCTGTTCTTTTACACTACAATATATTCTGCAAAAAATTCTGTGAATTTATACACTCTCTGTGCATAAGACAATTTGCTTAGGTATTGAAACTTCAGGCACAAAGTCCAGGAAACAATGCAAATGCTGTTACTGTCTAGGTCGATTGACAAATTATGCATAAATGAAACATAGGAGCATTAAACATGTCCCTGTAGTCTGTTTCCCCATTTAATTAGGTCATGGCTGATCTGTATCTTAACTCCATTCACCCACCTTTGATCTCTAACCCTTAACATAATTGCGTAACAAAAGTCTCTTAATTTTGGTTTAGGCCCAATCAGTTGAAAATTCCAAAGCTGAGGTCCAGATTTCCATTACCTCTGTGACCTTTCTGATGTCATCCCTGAATTGCCTAATCTAATTTTAAGATTCTGCCTAATATTTTGGACTCTTCCCACCAAAGGAAATAGCTTATCTCTGTCTTCCAGATCAACTCCTTCAATTATCTTAAAGATCTCAATTAGATTATTCTTTAATCTTCTATATTCAAGTCAATAGATGCCTAGTCTATCTAAACTGTCCTCATACTTAAACCTTTCAGCACTGATATCATTCTGGTGAATCAAAACTGTAGTCACTCTGAGCCAGTTTTATCCTAAAGTTTCAATGCTCAGAATCGAAAGCAATATTCCCGATGCATTCTCAGTTTAGCTTTTTATGACTGTAACATAACTTTCATCCTTTGTATTCCAGCTTCCATTAGCCTCTTAAATTAATCTTTGTACTTGTCCACTTGCTCTTAGTGATTATCGCACATGGTCCCCTAAATTTACCAGTTCCTAGACAATTCCTAGTTTATTCCCGTTTAGGAAATCTCATGACCTATCTTAGAGCCAAGGTGGATGACCTCATTTTTTTTTTCCCCACAATAAACGTCAATTTCTACAGTTCTGCCCACTGTTAATATGCTAAAACCCATATGAAACTTTCTGTTCCTTTCTACACACTCTTGAACGCATGACCAACTTAGTGTCATCAAACTTAGATATATGGCTGTCTATTTCATCACTGAAGTCACTCATAAATAAAGTGAAGGGCTGTGCCCCTTGTACTCATCTTCTAATCATTTGAATACAAACCCTTTGATTCTCAATCTCTGACCCCTAATTTAAACAGTTATCTTTCCAAGTCAATAAAATGCTCCAATTCCGTGCACTCCCTGTTTTGTTAAGTCTATGTCAATTCGTCCCTGCATGAACATGGCCACAATACTTGTTGCTATATCAAAAAAAAAATCCACAGACCGCAAAAAATTTTAAAAAGGGACCTGAGTGGTAACTTTTTCCATTCTTGGGTCCAACTCATCCACACCAACCAGACATCCCAATCTGACCCCTACTCATTTGCCAGCATTTGGCCAATATCCCTCTAAACCTTTCCTATTCATATACCTATACAAATTTCTTTTAAAATTGTTATTGTACCTGTCACCACCACCTCCTCTGATAGCTAGTTCGGTACATGTACCACCCACTTTGTGAAAAAGATTACCCTTACTCCTTTTTAAATCTTTCCCCTCTCACATTAAACCTATGCTCTGTAGTTTTGGACTCCCTCACTCTAGGAAAAAGACCTTGGCTATTTTTTTTCTTTATTCATTCACAGGATGAGGGTGTCGCTGGCCAGGCAGCATTTATTGCCCATCTGGCAGATAAGAGTCAACCACGTTGCTGTGGGTCTGGATTCACATGTAGGCCAGACCAGGTAAGGATGGCAGTTTCCTTCCCTAAAGGACATTTGTGAACCAGATGGGTATTTCCTGACAATCTGCAATGGATTTTTGGTCATCATGAGATTCTTAATTCCAGATATTTATTCAATTCAAATTCCACCATCTGCTATGGCAAGATTCGAACCCGGGTCCCCAGAATATTATCTGGGTCTCTGGATTAAAAGTCCAGTGATAATACCACTAGGCCATTGCCTCCCCTATCCATGTCCCTCATGATTTTATTAACATCTATAAGGTCACCCCACAGCTTCCAATGCTCCTTGGAAAAAAGTCCCAGCCTATTCAGCATTCTCCTATTGCTCAAACCCTCCAGTCCTGGCAACATCCTTGTAAATCATTTCCGCACCCTCTCAAGTTTGACAACATCCTTCCTATAGAAAGGTGACCAGAATTGAATGTAGTACTGCAAAAGTGGCCTCACCAATGTCCTGTACAGCCACAACATGATATCCCAACTCCTGTACTCAAAGTTATGACTAATGAAGACAGGTATGCCAAACCTTCTTCACCATCCTGTCCACCTGCGAATCCATTTTCAAAGAACTATGCACCTGTACCCCGAGGTATTTTTGTTCGGCAACAATCCCCAGGCTCTACCATTAACTGTATAAGTCCTACCCTGGTTTGCCTTACCAAAATGCAACACCTTACATTTACTTAACTTGAAAACCATCTGCCACTCCTCAAAACCACTAGTGCATCTGATCACGTCCCATTGTAATAGGAGATTATCATCTTCACTGTCCATGATGCCACCTATTTTGGTGTCATCTGCAAACTTAACTTTACCTCCTATATTCACATCCAAATCATTTATTCAAATGATGAAAAGGAGTGGGCACAACGCTGACCTGTGTGGTGCACCAAAGGTCACAGGTCTCCAGTCTGAAAACCAACCCTCCACCACCACCCTCTGTCCCCTGCCTTCAAGTTAATTTTGTATCCAAATGACTAGCTGTCCCTGGATCCCATGTGATCTAGTGTTACTAACCGATCTACCTCGCGGAAAGCTTTGTTGAAGTCCATATAGACGTCTACTGCTCTGCCTTCGTCAATCTTCGTTGTTCCCTCTTCAAAAAAATTCAATCAAGTTAGTGAGACAGGATTTCTCATGCACACAGTCATGCTAATGATCCCTAATCATTCCTTGCTTTTCCAAATGCATGTAAATCCAAATGCAAAAACCTGATATCAAAGAAATGGCTGAAGGCACTGGATACTGCAAAAACTATGAGCCATGACAACATTCTGGCAGTACTACTCATGACCTTGCGCTCCAGAACTAGCTAAGTCTCTAGCCAAGCTGCTTCAGTACAACTACAACATAGGTATTCAAGTGGCAAAGTTTTAAAAGGTCTTGATATGCCGTATCCACGAAAAGCCACAAAAATTCAATCCACCTCTTCCAGTCTATTCTTGATCATCAG